AACTCCCCCCCCCCCCCCCCCTGAATATCACTTGGTTCCGCCCCTGGCTTTACACTTTTTCACTTTCACTCAATCTTTTTTTCGAAGCTAATCCACCCAAGTCCTCCCCCTCCATCATCCTCCAATTGTAATACCTCATGGTTTAATTTTTAAATAATTGTCTATTTATATATTAATTAACCAACAAAAACTTCTATAAATTCCCCCCCCTGAATATCACTTGGTTCCGCCCCTGGCTTTACACTTTTTCACTTTCACTCAATCTTTTTTTCGAAGCTAATCCACCCAAGTCCTCCCCCTCCATCATCCTCCAATTGTAATACCTCATGGTTTAATTTTTAAATAATTGTCTATTTATATATTAATTAACCAACAAAAACTTCTATAAATTCATTAATATAAATTAATTTAATAGAAGAAACAAAAAAATTTATACATCAAAATATAAAACTATATACATCCCTCAAAATTCATGTACAATAGCCGAGTATTCCATCTATATATTTATCAATTATCTTTTAACTCTTGACTATAAAAGAATACAACTAAAAAACAAAACATAAATAAACTAAAACTTGAATTTCTGATTTGTCCTCACTCCACTGGATCCAGTCCTCTTCTTGAAATCATGTAAAACCACAAAGTGAGCTAACAACTCAGCGGGTTACTAGAACTTATAACTGAAATCAATGTAAGGCACTAGAAATAATATGCATGTAATCATTCAAGTGCTTTCAATATGAACATATAACTATAAAGTATGTAGTAATAAATAAAGTAATAACATGCAATATGATCAATAAATATCAATACAATTGTATATCTTAACCAAGTAAACAATGATCAGTGAGTTTTGTCAATCATTTACCTAACAATTACAAAATAGTTTATATAGCATCTTATTACATCAATATACCTATCATTATCATATGCATATCATATAATGTCAATGTTATGCATGTATATCATGTGATTCATATATATCAATTATCTTTGTATCCGTTTTATTAGTATTATCAGATACTTGCATTAATCATAGCCTATATATCTTATGCAATAATGTTAAATCAATCATGTAATTTATCATATGTATTATTGTCATATACATATGCAAGCACTGTAAGCAAGAAAATGTATCCAACTATCTGAGATGTTTTCCTGTAACCAATTATATAGGCCAATCCTACAAGAATCAGCTTAAATCATATTAGTCTTATTTCCATGAATCAATCATTTTACAAGTCATTTAGGTTAAACGACCTTCATATTATAAGTAGTCACTTTTTGCATGTTGGCGTGTCATATCATATTGATTTTTCTCCTTATGCCTCCATTTTCATACCATTTATAGGGTTACACTATAAATCTATTTTAAAGGAAATCCCATCAACCCAGCCTCCTATATAAAGAAATATATCTTTAGTCAATTTGAATATGTAAATCACTTTTTGCCAACATTTCTTATATACACACATTTCATAGGATTTATATAACATAATAAATATCTTATAAAATACTCAATGTTCAATTCAGGGAATCATCTTAATACATGTAAAATTAACATATGAATTAAAATTAATGAAATTCACAAGAAAAATATAGCGTGCTATTTTTCATATGTAAAAGTATTTAATAATTATTCCTCAAAATTTTAAATTTATCAAAATTTCCCAAATTAGGATATTCTCTCAAAATAAAAAAAAAATTGCTGAATATTTAATATGTTCTAGTCAGAATGGTTATGTTAACGACCTCTATCATATATAAACAATTATATAGTAAAAGTTTGCTAAAAATTAAGATATCATAACTTTTGTTTATTTTGATCAAATCAAAATTAATAAAATTCAAAATACAGAAAATCATTAAAATCAGAGGTAGGGTAATCATATTCTATCTCAACTTGAACAACTTTCTCAACAGCTCACTAGCAAAAATTGCTCTACAACCACCACATTCTAAGTTTTATTTTCTCTCTCATCTCTTTTCTCTTTGATTTTTTATTTTTGCTCTTAATTAAAAATAAAATGAACGAAATGACAGTTGGATAAGTTATATAAGTAAATTTAGATTTTTTTAAATAATATAAGATGTATTGGTAATTGTGCTAATTAGTCAATTTTAAATGTAAAATTCATACAAATTCTTTTATATTTTCAAATTTGGAGCTCCATAAATCAAAGAAGAATATTTATAAAATAGCTCAACATGTTCTAAAAACTTTGGTTAAATTGTTTTAGAAAACAGACATCTAACGGTCCCAAAATCCCACTTTGTACCAAGAGATGTTAATTTTTTACATTACCCCTAAAATTATTATAACAAAACACAATAATATATATATATATATAATTGACTTATTTATAAAATTGACTTATAATGACTTAACAAATTGTTTGACCAAGTCAAAATATGGGCTATTACCCCATCATTTTTTCACTACATCCAACACCTCCACCAACTTCATTGCCTTCTAATACTCAAATATTTTATCACCAATAATACTCTTCAATTGCATCCATCTTCCAACACTTTAATACCACCCCATCCAACACTTCTTTACCACATCCACCTCGTATCTTTTGTCTCTCCATAAAATACTATAATACTGCAGTCGTTTTTAATAATCATTAGTGACATTTGTGCCTCTGGCAACCTCATTAATCTCCTTGGAGGCTTCATGTATTGAAGTCCTCCAATTGCTTAGATGTTGATAACTTTTGTATGAGTTCTTTATAAAATAATATAAATTAGTTAACCAGACTATATCTTATAATTACATCCCATATAAGAGCTTCCTACACGTATTCTAAAAATCTCCAAATTCATATGAAAACTCGATTAAAATTATAACGATTTATAAATTAAGTATATTAGACATATAATCATTATAGAATAAAAATATTATTAATTTGACACAAACATTAGAGTTATTTCATATTAATAGCCTACATGGTGCTCACTATAAAACAATATTTTGCATATTTTTTAAAATGCAAATTCACAACATGCTAAATACTTAAAAAATAAAATTAGAGCAATATTCTCAAAGAAATTTTAAAGAGAATGATATGGATGACAATTTTATTCAAATATAGGGGGTTGTTATCCAAATAAGAAAGGTTTTTGGATTATTTAGTATTTATTTTTCCATAGCATATTTTTACTAAGATAACATAACTAATAATTAAGAATAAATTTAACATAATAATATGCATAAACGTGGCGGCTGCATTGATCCTGTGCCGGCAGATAGCCGCACGATCCCACCCTTTCAGTTCATCAGGACCGTCCAATTATGTCCACGTATCACCCTCCCATTGGTCCACCTCACATCCCTTCCCCACCATAGACATTAAGGAGCCCGGAAGCCAGAGCAAAATAGAAGGAAAAGGGGCTCGTGAGAAACAAACCCACACCCATATAAATTCCTAACACGTAAATAGCGACCTAAATAATAAGAGACAACCACGATCTTCCCCTTATTTTCTCTCTTTCGATTTCGATAAGCCCCCTCTCCTCTCTCTCCTTCCCCCAGCCTGTCTGGAGAGCCGGCACACACCTCGTGAATCCGAACCCTCCGTCGCCGACGGCCTACTCTGGGTGATGCGCCGTCGAAGCCCCAAACGATCGACCCCAATCCCTGCTTCGCAGCCGTTGATTTCTCGCTGGAGGCCGTGAACTCTTGTGAAATTACACATAAAGCCATCTGACAAAAATTCAAAAATCTGCCCTCCCTCCTACGATTCCTGAACCCCCACGCCGACGCACAATCACTTTCTCCGATCGCCGCTTCCTATCTAAGATTATTAGTTTTCATCGCTTCCATTAGGTACACCTCTCCCGCCCCGAATTCACTCCATATATGGTCTTCACTGCTTCCCGCTCAGTGAGCTTTACTACTTTGATCTGATCGGGTTGTCTGCTCCCGATTACGTTGTGTACCGTGACTTCTTCTTGCATCCATTTGCGCTTCCGGATTAGGATTAAAGATCGTTTTTCTCCGGCCGATCTGCTCCTTCCGCCACCGGATTCGATATTTGAGTTGATCGGCGCGGAGCTTCGGCTTGTGTTAGGGTTTCTGCGATTGGGCTAGTTTTTAGCTTCAGATTGCTTTCCTTACGTTAGGCTTGATAGTTCATTGCTCCTCTTGCGGTACCTTAACGGGATTCTACTTTGCTTTGTTAAGTTTTGAATTCCTGTTTAACAAATGATTATTTTGAATATAAAGATTTAGGATTTATGCATGCCTGCATTTGATTTGGATTTAGGCTTATGCATCCAAAATGTGTTCCTTAGCGCCCTGAATGAAGGATCCCTTTTTCTTGACTAAACTAGTATTCTTTAATGTTTCTAAGTGCTTCTTGCTGTTGGATTGGAGTAAAATGCATCCTCTATGTTTACTCTTTACTGCAGACATCTGCATTGTTGGTGAAGCAAAAATATCTTACTTTCAATCCCGTGTTTTGCTATTGCAGTGATAGCTTGTAGTGGATTTGGAGAGATTTCCATGTGAGAGGAGGCGAGATGGCATACTTCAGGAACTTCGATGAAAACATGGATTCCAGTCAAGACTTGAATGGGAAGGATGGTGGACGTGAAGCTGATGGAGCATATGGATCTCCGGGAACTAGAGACATGGATGCTAGTTTTGGTGAGAAGGAGGTTGACAAGAAGGCTGCAGGGCAGTACCAAAGTGAGGAGGAGCCATATGATGCTGGTGGGCTACAAAGTGATATGTGTGGCATGAATGGTATGGCAAAGGCTGGAAGAAGATTAAATCCTGCTGGTACTTGGGGTTCAAGCTTTTGGAAAGATTGCCAACCAATGTGGGCTTCTAATGAGGATAATTATGATTCTATGAAAGTTGAAGAAAGGCCTGATTGTGACTCTAAGAAAGTTGAAGTAGAATCTCTTGGCTATTCTTGTGATGACTCGGATGGTCAGAGAGATGAAGATCATTTGCAGAGAGGACAAGCTGATGTGCCTGCAGATGAGATGCTTTCTGATGATTATTATGAGCAAGATGGTGAAGAGAATAGTGATTCTTTTCATGGTCGGGGTCTGAGCCAGCCTAGCACCTCCGGTTCAAGATTGCCACCCAAGTCAACCTCTTCCAATAGAAACAGTTCTAAGAGTTTAGAAGCAGTAAAATTTGATGAATATGATGAGGATGAGGATTATGAAGAAGAAGATGAAGAAAATGAAGGAGATGGTTTGTCATTCCTGATCAAAAACAAATTGTCTTTTTTCTTCCCGTCATCAATACTTAAATATATTTCTTTGTCTTATCATTATCAAAGTGCTTCTGAATAAAAAAAAAGTGCTTCTAAATAACATTTTTGGCTTCCTCCACAAAATGCTAATGTTTCCTTTATTGCAGTCACATTTTCTCATTTATTTTCCCATTGATAAACGTCTGATATCAAACCTTTTTTTCTATCACAGAAGACGACCCTGATGATGTTGATTTTGAGCCTGAATTTGATGAAACAAATAGGCACACAAGAAGCAAGGTTAATGAATGATACCATGCTTTATTTACATGAACTTCAATTTTATTTTAGGTCAATCTTCTAGAAATTTGAGTTGTCATATGAATTTAATATTTTCATTTTGGTAAATAAAATTTGGAGAAAAAGGATTCATGTAGCCGACCCCACGTAGTGTGATAAAGGCTTGATGTTGTTGTTGTTATTGGTAAATAAAATTTGGGTTTTAGCAGCTTATTTTGCTACATCACTCTTGTTCGTTTCTGTTTTTATATTTTACTTTTTTTCTATTAGATTCTTGCATCATATTTTTCATGCTCTATTTCTTTAGCTTTAAACTTAAGCTTTATGGATAGATTTACTAGAAATCATGATCAGCCTTTTATGTTTACAAATGATTCAACTTCTTTAATTCTGAGAGGGTTGCTTTCAAAGCAGAATTTTAAGTCTTTATTAGTCTGTTAGTTGTTTCCATTCATCATCATTGCCGAATTTAGCTTGCTGTTTATCTTTTTCTGCATTCTCCAGTTAGTTGAGTGCAATGATATTCATCTCTTCTGGCATGCTAAATGATCAATATCTCTGTTTGGAAAGGGAGGTAATGAGTGGATCATTTCCTTTTTTGCTTTTTGCAATTGGTTTGTTTCTTTGCATCTCCATTTCATTGTTCAATGTTTTTTTGGGATATTCTTGAAAATCTGTTGAATGTATTACAAATTTCTAGATGCTAAATTTTCCATCAATTGATGCAGGTTAAAATGTCAGAGAGTGATGAATTTGAGGAGGATGATGCAGATGATGAAGATGATGACCTTGACCTCTCGGAGGAAGATGATATAGAAGAATGCACAAGTTTTAAACGACAAAGAGCAAGGCGGAAAACTGGGCAAAGATCAAAGGGATCAAAAGAAAGCAAATCCATTCATATCAATAGACGGAAAAGAGGGAGAGCTTTTTCAGAAGAAGCTGAATCTTTTGAAGATGATTCAGAAGAGGACATCGATGGGTACTTCGATCTAAAAATAAAGAGGGCGCCTCAGTCACGTAATAAAAAGATTGGTTCACGATTAACCACATCAGCAATTATGAGCTCCCCGAGGAATGAGGTTCGACATTCTGTTAGGTCTGTGAGAAAGGTCTCTTATGTTGAAAGTGAGGAAAGTGAGGATATTGATGAAGATAAGCTAAACAAGTCCCAAAAGGTGTGTATTATTAAGTATTTGCTTTTATTGGGTATCCTTTTAGGCTTAGTGTTTTTTAAATAATAGTTATGTGACTTCTGTTTGATGCTTACCACCTTTTCTGATGAGACATTGATTCAAGTCATATTCAGCACTTCACCATTTCAGATGCCCTTTGCTTTGTCCGTTTCAGTTTACGTTAATTCGTCTGAAATTTTCAACGAGTGGGTGATGTATAGTCATGATTTCAGGAAGAAGCTGAAGAAGATGATAGTGATTCAATTGAGAGGGTACTTTGGCACCAAACAAAGGGGATTGCTGAAGAAGCTGCAAAGAACTATAGATCAACTTTACCTTCAGTGATGAGTGTAGTGTCAGAATCAGAACCTAATTGGAATGATGTTGAATTCTATATTAAATGGAAAGGGCAGTCATATTTACATTGTGAATGGAAGCCATTCTCTGATCTCCAAAATGTAAGATTTTAGAAATTCATGCAAGCAAAGCTTGGTTGTTTCCATTTTTTGTAATTGTGTAAGCTTGTAACCACTTAATTTTTGTTGCTTAACTTTTCTGTTTCATTAAACTCAATCTGTTTCCCTAAATATCAGCTTACTGGATTCAAAAAGGTTTTAAATTATATGAAAAAGGCAAATGAAGAGCGAATCAACAAAAGGGCTCTGTCACGTGAAGAGGTATTTAACATTTTTCCGTGTATGTAATTTAAAAACATGACCTGGTCATTAAGAATGCACTATGAGGCTATTGTGATACATTCTTTGCAATCGTTTCTTACCCCCTATGCGCTATTATTGAAATAATATCTGTGATTTCTTATGCATTGTCTTTATTCTTCAGAAATTGGTAAAGTTTGTTTGCCATGATCAGTTAAAATAATAGTTTTGACCAATCAGCAATAGCTTAGTGTTATTGTCTTTTGCTTCCCAGTATTATGAGGTTCAAATTGCCCAAAATAATGCTGTTATATATGTACATCTTTTCCATGCAAATGGTAGTTTTTTATTTTTGTATTTCTATACAACATGCATGCATATTTTAAGTTGAAACAACAATTCATAAACAACATGCTTCAAAAACCTATTAGAAGTCTAGATTTGTCCTGGAGCTCTTTTTAATATGACCCCATTGATCACAATAAATTATGAGTAGGATAATGCTATGGTACCATACTTGGATATTTATTATACCTGATTAAATTGACGTGGATCTAGTCCTAGATTAAGATGGACTATCCATTTATTAACACTGACCAATGGATAGGTCGTCGAACTCATATAGTTGTGGAACTTTGATCCAAATCATCTCACTCTATTGCACAACTAAAACCTAGGATTCCTCATGGCTGCTTTCTCTTGCCATCTTCTTCCCCAATCATTGGCCTCTCCTCCATAGCCTTCATCCTATAAATCTTCCTTTGCCATCCTCTTCCTGCATTGATGTTCTTGTTCTTCAATACCCCCCATAACAATTATCAATTTATTAGTGTTGTTAATGATGAGTCAAAGGTCGCTTGGGGACTTAGATAGGCAAGACTGTAGAACTTCCTGTACCTCTTGTGCAGGTATTTTTACTGGCTTGTGCATTACGATGATCATCTTGCTAGTGTTGTTAATGTTGAGCCAAATGATGCCAAGGGACTCAGAGAGGCAAGGCCATATAACTTCTTGTACCTCTTGTGCGATCATCTTTGTTGGCTTGTGCATCTTGCCTTACGATGCGATTCTATTAGTTGAGCGACTTTCCATATTTTTAGAGATTGGTGCTAATACTTCAATCATTAAAGATTACTGATGAGGTCATCGACAGACATTTTAGGCAGGTTTATCGGCGAAGGAATCGTAGATCGATGGCTACGATCGGGAGTTTATATTTTTGATGTTATCATGTTGTTTTATTTTGTGTCTTTTATTTCATGTACTAGTGACGATTTCGCCCTTATGTAGGCGTAGTGTTTATTGTAGCCCAAGGGGCATATGAGTCTTTTGTTTTTCTTTTCATGTTTGAGACCTCTTATAAAAGGGTCTCTTCTTGATGTATGAGGGTAATGCTTGATTAATAAAATTCTGAGATTTTCTTTGTCTTCATGCTTGAGAGCTTGAGAGAAAAAGAGGAGGCCTAGGAGAGGCTCCATCCGAATTACCCAACAGCCACTTTGGTGAGCTCTTGGCTTTATTTTCTTATTTTTGCTGTTTTCTTCTCTCCCCACCACCTCCCCATTCACCCATCCCCTTCCCTTACAACTGGTCCAGCAAAAATTCCCCCCTCCACCCGAACCCGCCTCTCTCCCCCTTCACGTTTCCTGCAGCCGACTCAGCCAGAGCCCCTTGATCCTGCCGATCTCCCTTCCCATCCCCCTCTTGCCGCCGGCTGGACAAGCCGGCGGCCCCAGCACAGCCACCGCCTACTCCTCCACAGTCCGGCCCTCCTTTCCCCTGGCTAATCCCGCCGGTTTCAGTGCATGAAGAAGTTTGAATTCTGCCATCAATTCTCTTTATTTGCTTTCCTAATTTGACTCCTCAAATTAGTGAAAATTGATTGAGGATTAATGACCCAAATTCAAATTCGAATTTCCCTCCCCCTCTCATTTGAAACTTCCTAATTAATTAAAATCTGAAATTAAAGCTCAGATTTTAATTAAAACCTTGGGGCCCACTATTTAATCAAATCCATCTTTTCCTCCTTGCTTGGCCGGCCCCTTTCATGCATGGTTCTCTCTCTCTACTTGCCACATAAGCGCCCATTAATTCCCCTTCTTAATTCTCCCTAATACCCGCCCCTCCTAATTCAAATTTTGGGAGGTTTTCATTGCAATTAATCTCTCCCTCCAAACAACAAAGTCTTTCGTCGCCTTCATCGTAGTGGTGCTCTTCATCCTCACATGGTTTCTTATTCTCCGCTAAAGCCCAAGAGTGAACGAGAGAGAGAGAAAGGGTACTCAAGGTGAACTTCTTTATTATTAATTGCGGGATTTTTGTTATGAGCATTTAAGTGTTTCCTTTATCTTTGAATGATAAGATTGGTTTGGTTAACTCAAAGCACATCTTCTCCTAAGCAAGTTAACTACTTTGAACGATTTAACCCTTTACTTTTGTTGGTAATTAAAATTTGTTATGACATGCTTTGAATAATCTTTATTTTAATTTCCGAACGCAGTTCCTTCGCATGTGGTATCACATCAATTACTTGGTTTTTGATGGCGATAATAGTTGTGGGATTACATGAAAAGAACATTAAGAGTTGAAGAAATAGGTATGCACTATTGGAATCCAGCTAATTAAATATAGGTGTGAGATCTTGCTTTCAGAATAAAAAACTTTGAAGATGAAGAGGATACACAAGAATAGAGAAATTGATTGGAATAGATTAAAGATTAGATTATCCCTAGGCTATGCATACTATTAACTAACATAAATTAATGTGACTTTTTATTTATACTCATTAAGAATATGCTTCAAAATTTAAATAAAATGCAAGCAATATTTACTTTTCTGCATCTCATTTACTCCAATGAACACACCTTCTATATTGAGAAATCATATACAACTATTACATTCAAAAACACTCTTTCATATTTTTTTTTTCTATCTTTTTCATCCCGTTTGATCTCCTTTTTCATTATTTCTTCTGAGTTCTTTCAAATGAATGGTCATGCGATGTGGTATTGAGCCAATTATGAGACACTCCCAATCCTTCTTTTATGATAACCTTTCACCTTTCCTTCCATATTCTACTCTTTCCATCCCTCTCCCTCCAACCTTGGCCTCAACTTTTCTCTTCTTTCCACCTTACCTTTTGTCAATTATACTTTCTCTATCTTTTAGCCATTATTGTTATCATTTGACCATGTTAGTGTTTATGACGTAGTCCCTTATTATGATTCTTCTCACCTTATTTTAAGCTTTTATTCACTTACCTTTCTTTTATGTCATTGAGATTCAAGTGTGATGTAAAACATATGAGTTGGATTTTTGCTTAATTTATTTTGATTTTTACAAGATTTAAGTTCTAACATAACCAAGTGCCTATTTGGGACATCTTTCTACTAGCTTTGCTTTCAAACTACAAATACATTGACGTTTAACTAATGGCTTTTCAACTGCATTTAAAAAAAAAATGCATTCTAAGCATATCATCCTATGTTCTAGTAGTTTAACTATGTTTTGTGGTTTCCCAATCTATTTACATTCCTTTCATCTTTCTTTTAAAGAAACTAGATAATCACTTCAACCAACTTTTCCTACCACTATTTCACAACCAATTTTGCATGCTATTGTGTCCGTTCATACAAACCCTATAAGATTATTTCTGTAGCTTGCTCGACATGACTATCAATTTTTGAATGTTATTCGAAAGTTGAAATACAATAGATGTTGATATCATTCATCATAGATTTGCTTTGCTAATAATTTCCCCTTGAGCAATAATAGAACTAGTGGTGGGGTTGGGACATTGGGCGAAAGTTATTAAAAAGAGTGCACGTTTTAGATGTCTCTAGTCTATTGTTCGAAGCGATGGTGAAATAGATGGGGATATTGTTAGTAAAATTCAAGTTGAATGGTTGAAGTGGAAGAATGCATCGAGCCCATGTATGATAGAAAGGTACCCCTCAAACTTAAAGGAAAATTCTATAAGATGGTGGTGAGACTAGCAATGCTTTATGCGCATAATGTTGGCCATTAGAAGAGAAACATAAGGTTAAGTGTTATATAGATGAGAATGCTAAGGTGGATGAATGGCTTTACTCTGAGAGACAAAATGTGAAATGAGTATGCATTTGAAAGGGTTGAAGTAGCTCTAGTTGTAGATAAGATTAGAGAGAGTCATCTTAGATAGTTTGGGCACATAAATCTTTGGCCTTCCAATGATCTAGCTAGGAGAGTAGATGTATTGTATTTGGCCTATGTTAAGAAAGGTAGAGTTAGACATAAAAGGCTTGGCTATTCAATTTTAGAAATTTCATTTTTTATTAAATTTAAATAAGAATTTGACTCTTAACTGGGCATTATGGAGAAAAATGATTCATGTAGCCGACCCCACATAGTCGGATAAAGGCTTGATGTTGTTATTATTGTAGAGATGAGGATGTTCAGATGGATGAGTAGCATTATACTTAGAAACAAAATGCAAAGCGAATATATATGTGTAAAGTTTGGAGTAGTTTCAGTGGCAGATAATATTAGAGAGATGCCTTAGATGGTTTGGTCACATAAAACGTAGTCCTTCCGATGATCATGTTAGGAGAGTAGATGTATTAGATCCGCGGCTTATGTTAAGAAATGTAGAGATAGATCTAAAAATACTTAGTTAGAACATATTAAAAATGACATGTTTTTAGTAGATTTAAATGAGAAATTGACTCTTATTAGGAGACAATGGAAAAAAATGATTCATATAGCTTACCCCACGTAATGGGATAAAGACTTGTTGTTGTTGTAATAATTTCCTCTTAAGTGAAGATAGAAAAGAGTTTTTCATTGATGTTTTATCCTCTAAACCAAGACTTCTATTAACCATCAACCTGAGCAGATCACAGAAATTTGGTGATGGTTATATTAGCTCCGATAAACTCTTTCTTTCTTTTTTTTTTTTTTTTTAAATCTTGTTAGCTAGATTAGGTCATCTTAAGATATATTCTTAAATGTGTTACACATGCTCAATGATAAAAAGTCATGTT